AATTGAATGACATTGTTAACTCTAGCTTCAATCTAGGTGAGAAAATTCCCGAGTCTAAAATTGTGAGAAAAGTGCTTAGGTCCATGCCCGAGAGATTTAGGCCTAACGTCACTGCCATTGAGGAAAGTAAGGACCTAGATGAAGTTAAAATTGAAGAACTGGTAGGATCGTTGCAAACTTATGAACTCACTATTACACAACCTAAGAAAGGAAAGTCCATAGCCCTAAAATTCATCAAAGAAGATGAATCTTCTGATACTGAGTCACTTAGGCACGAGAAAATCGCATACTTTGTTAAGAAATTTCAAAAAGTTCTCAAAAATAAGAGAAAGCCTTAGGATAAAAAGAGTGGAGCTCCTAGCAGATTCACAAAAGCAAAAACTGAAGCGTTTAACAATAAAGGGTCGAGTGATAAACCACGTTTGGTTAGGTGCCATGAGTGTCAAGGTATAGGTGACTATAGGAATGAATGCCCTAGTTATAAGAAGAACCGAAGAAAAGGGAAATGTAGGGCCTTAGTTGTCTTACTTACAGATAATGAATCTGAGACCAGTGATAGACAGGAATCTTCTAGTAGTGAGGATGAAGGAAACTATATGGCATTTGTATCGACTGTTAAGAGTGAATCTGATAAAGAGAGTGACAAAGTTGAGGAAGAACTTCCAAACGATAATTCTAGTAATGAGGAAGATGATGACATAGACATACAAGAAGTTTATCAACTTTTATTTAAGGAGAGTCTTAAAATCAAAAAGGTCAATAATGCCCTACTCAAAAAGGTTGATGAACTTGAAAGAGAAAAAGAGAAACTTGCTAGTAATCTTCAGAATTCACCTAAGAGTGGCAGTGAGTTAAAGTTTGTCAATGAGAAGTTAGAAGATAAGATTAAGACTTTGACTAGTGAATTGGTGAAATCTAATGCTCATCTTCAGACTTTCATAAGTGGGACTAAGAAATTGGACAATATTTTGGAAATGAATAAGCCTGCAGGAGATAGGAAGGGTCTAGGATATGTTGAGGGTAATACACATGTTGCTGGACCTTCTAAGACTGTTTTTGTTTCTGCCTCTAAGGAAATTAATGCTGTTAGTAGTTCAAATAAGAGTAAGAATGTTCCGAGAGAACAGAGTCATCAATCACGTAGGAACTTCATACCCAGATACCCTCAGCCACGTACCTTTGAGCCTAGGTTCATTCCCACCTGTCAGCACTGTGGAGCCTTAGGACACACTAGGCCTAGATGCTATAGGTTAGGGAATGATCGTAAAAATCTGAACATTCCTAGTCAGGTTAGCTTTCTGTCTAATCGGGTTAGTCATTTGACTGAGATGCTTACTAAGCTTACTAGGAGTACTTTATTATCTAAGAAAGTTTGGGTCAAAAAGGGTGATCTAGCTAGACATTCAGGTCAAGAAAAGTGTTTTGTTGCTCAAGTTGCATTGAAAGCCCAAAATTACAACATGTGGTACCTAGATAGTGCATGTTCTAGACATATATGTGGTAATAAGGCTTTGTTCACTACCCTTGATGAATGTAACGATGGTATGGTTACCTTTGGAGATGGGGGTTCTGCACCTATTCTTGGCAAAGGTACTGTACAAATACATGATTTACCTGTGATCTCTAATGTACTTTATGTGGAAGGTTT